GGTTATCGGTGGTTTTTTTAACCTTGTCTTATTTTTTAATAATTTTGAGTGTGCACTCAGAAAGCTGGTCTTGCACATGTTCAGCAAGAGTTGTGGCTGTGTTTTTGTTTTTTAAAAGAAATGCACTAAAAAGAAAATAATCTGTATTTCCTGTATTTAATTAAGTTGTTACATCTCCAGTTCCAGGAGACTGTTATCTTACACTCTTGTCAGCTGGTGAGGCCATGCATATAGGGAAATACTCAGTGGCAGCAGACTAGTTAATCTAATTACTCTCAAATAAAGGGTGTGAAAACAAAAGCATTCATTTTAATTTTTTGTTAATTCATAGTCATCTTGGCCTTTATTTCCTTCCTGTTTTGTTTGGGTTTATATAAATGAAAATTTGTCAGTCTTTAAATTTTTGCATGGTTTCAGTTTATATGCAAAATGTGTTTATGAAAGGCAAGAGAAGAGGACTGATGTGATAACCACATTAGATGTATGTTCATGAATTAAGTCATTGGGATGGTAACTTCTGCTCTGTTATTCAGTGCAAAAAGTTATGCAGGGACACTACTGGTTTTTTTTGGTAATTCTTCACCTTTCTTGGCCTGTAACAGAGGCACCAGATATAATCTGTGCAAATCCACTGTTGTTTTAAACAGACCCAGTTTAGACTTAGGTGTTTTCTTTCGGTGAAGTGAAAACCATATTACTATTAATGTTTGCTCTTCCTGAGGGAGTTTAGGTCAGCTGTCCAACAGTGTGTTGGAGGACTGTTCTCTAGTGATTGTTTGGATGCACCTTTCTCTTGGATCTCCATGTGACATTTTGGCGATGGTGCTTGGTGAAAGTGTTCGAGCAATATTTCAAGAAACTTGTGGACTGAGTGTATGTTGTTAAGCCTGGAGAAGAAAAGGCTCTGGGGTGACCTCACAGCACCTTCCAGTACCTAAAAAGGCTCTGAGAGACCTGGGGAGGGACTCTGGACAAGGGTGCATAATGATGGGATATGAGGCAGTGGCTTTAAGCTTAAAGAGAGTGGGATTATGTATATTGGGAAGAAATTCTTTACTGTGAGGATGGTGAGACACTGGCACAGGTTGCCCAGAGAAGCTGTGGCTGCACGATCCCTGGAAGCGTTCAAGGCCAGGCTTGGCGGGGCTTGGAGCAACAAGGTGTCCTGTCCACAGCAGGGGGTTGGAATGAAGTGGTCTCTAAGATTTCTTCTAACCCCAACTATTCTGGTATATGACACTCTCTCTCTCTATATGTATACATGTACGTTTAGACTGCTGTATGTATATCCCAAATAACATGAGACCGCTTGCAGATTTTGTGATTTACTGTTATTGTCTAAATGTGTGGCCTGTATATTAAATTCACGTTTTAGGAGCAGTGGAATTTCAAATTTTATATGTCTCTCAGCTTGCTCTTGATAAAATAGATGGGTTATACAGATATCTCTTATTTACTGTAGAAGAGTCAGTGTGAGTTAGCACTGCTTGGTAATTTCAGGGTTGATATGGACATGAAGGAGGGCTATGAAATGGAAGTCTGCCTGGATGCTTCACTGTGGTGAGAGGGATGGGCCTGAACCTGATGAGAAATGACTTAAAATTTGATTCCCTCCACTGAGAACTCTTTTGTTCTGCTGATTTATATGGAACAAATACTGTTTTCTGTTGTGACTCTTCAGTATAAAAGATGCTTTAAAATATATGAATTATTATATACGCATTTTACTATGCATTTTTAACTATACATTTGATTGCAATATTTTACTTTTAGGTAAAGAATTTATAAAAGCTGGACCTCTTTGGATACAAACTCATAATTACCAGTCTAGATAGTGTTAATCAGAAATTATCTTCTTTCTAGAGTTCATGATTAAAATACAGCACACTGAAATAATCTGTGGCCTAATCTGAACATCTGAATTCATTTTGTAGAATATGGCAAACAGCTGCATTTCAGTTTGGAGTTAAAACAAATACAGTATATTGACCCATTGAAGATTACTGTAAGCTTTTCAGTTCCATGATAGCTGTACTTATTGAAGAAAATTGATTTGAGAGTGCTTCTGCTTTTGAATGATTTTTTTTTTCTTTTTTTTTAATGTCCGGAAGAAAGGAAATAGAACATACGGAGGATGGGACTTTGATGTGTAAAGAAGTTAATTATCTAAACCATCAAACAAAACGTGGGCTGTGGAAGTAATTATTGTAAAGGGTCTGATGAAGCCTGACAAGCTGTTGGTTTTTTATGTCAAGAAAGTGCTGTACACCTGCTTGATTTGAAAGCTAAATCATTTGGTTGCAATAGGAAGATCAAGTTTTTAGTGAAGCAGTAGCCAATAAGGTTTCGGCTCTCAAGCCTACTGATATTTGCACACATCTACAGTCCTACAAGTGTTTTTTAATTAAACTGTTCTTGTCTACTTGGAGGGCAGGAAGCTAGGAAAGGATTTACCCCAAAACAGGACTTGCATGAATCACAAATCTTACACTGCGAGGAGGCAACTGTGGAATTGTCCCATGGTTTTTGGGAATTTTGGGAGAATGCTTCATAAGTTAGCAGAAAAGAACCTCATGGATAAAGCAAAATGTCTGCCATAGATGGTCAAAGTAAATAGCTGTATATATGATATTAAATTAAATTAGTTTTAAAAAGCCCTAAACTTAAAGCCCCCTTACGTCTTTGTAGGCTATGCAGTTTTTAAACTTTTTTTTTTTTTTTAATTTTTAAAATTCACTAATTTGACTGTTTAGGTTCTGTGACTCTGGTAATTGCTGATTATGGCAACACTGAAGCCTAGTGTGTAACTACTCATGTGATTAAAATCAGACTTTAGTGGGAGCAAACTTTTGATTAAAATTACACATGTGCATAAGTGCTTGCAGGATGGGGCCCTAAATTAGAATCTGCTTGAAGATGTACAGAAGCCTGTGAAAATCTACTTGAAAGCATTAATAAAAATAAGTAAACTTATGACACCAAATTGGGTGGGAGTAGGGAGGCTGTACAGAGGGATCTGGACAGGCTGGATCAACCAGCCAAGGTTGTGAGGTTCAACAAGGCCGAGTCCTGCATTTAAGTCACAATAACCTGGTGCAGTGCTGGGGGCAGAGTGTTTGGAAAGCTGCTTGCTGGACAAGGTCCTGGGGTTGCTGTTTGGCAGAGGCTGAACATGAGCCAGCGTGTGCCCAGGTGGCCAAGAAGGCCACTGGTACCTGGCCTGTGGCAGCAGGACCAGGGCAGTGACTGTCACCCTGTGCTGGGCACTGGTGGGGCCTCACCTCAAACCCTGGGTTCAGTTTTGGGCCCCTCATGACAAGGAAGACATTGAGGTGCTGGAGCGAGTCCAGAGAAGGGCAATGGAGCTGGGGAAGGCTCTGGAGCACAAATCCAATGAGGAGCAGCTGGGCGGGCTCAGCCTGGAGGAGGCTTGGGAACCTTCTTGCTTTCTACAACTCCCTGACATGAAGGCATAACGAGATGGGGGTCAGACTCTTGTCTCAGGTAACAAGTGACAAGTCAAGAGCAAACAGCCTCTGGTTGTGCCGGGGAGGCTTAGATGGGACATTAGGGTAAGTTTCTTCATGGAAAGGGTGGTCAGGCATGGGGACAGGATGCCCAGGGAAGTGACTGAGTCACCATCCCTCGAAGGATTTAAAAGACATTGGACAAGGTTTACTGGTAGACTTGGCAGTGCCAGGTTAATGGTTGGAATCAAGTCTATGATTCCATCTAAAGCATGAACGGCTTATTTTTTTGTTGTTTGTCCAGCTGCTGTTGTGTCATCAGCCTTTCAAAGCACATGTTACTTTTTGAAGGTGTCTTATGGCTTGTATTTAGACTAGTATAAGTTTTCTTCAACCAAAGCAGAATATTTGGGATTGATAGCAATGCTTTTAATGGCATTTAATATAAATCTGGTCCTGTAGTTTAAGATTGCTTTTTAGAAAAGTAATCTATCTTAACCTTTGGACTTTAGAGTGGAGAAGGCATCTCTTACAGCACAGCAAATTATATCAGCATATAGCTTTTATTGTCACAACTACTGCTACAACTAATAGTACAAGAAATGAGCAGTACAAGTCAACTGTTACTTGTGTGTAACAAGCTAGAAGAGAAAGAAATGTAGTGGGAATATATCCTGTTTATCAGGAGACTTACACAGTGTGCAGTTTTTTGTTAAAACATTAAGGGAAAAATGAAACCCCCTTTTACATATTTGTGGAGTTTTCCATAGCTCAGTTTTGCTAAGTCAGTGTTTTAGTAAATTAAGTATTTTTTTAAAATGAAATAGTTCAAAGGCATTTGACTTGCATATTGTTAAAGAGGAAAATGTAGATGCACTAATTACTTCATAGAATAAAATTGTACTGGTTTTGGTTTGGAGTTTTTGAATGAGAAATTTACATAGAAAAGCTGTAAACTATTTTGAATAAATATAGTCCCTTCAGTCCTATAAGTATGATGGTGTTCAAGTCTTATTCTTTTTAATGCATTTCTGTTTTAAGGATTTTAGTGTGTGTACGTAAAGCTGGTGTTCTAGAAAGGAAGGTTGTGATGTCTGTGCTCATCAAGTTTTAGCTTTTTCTGAGAATCTCTTTTGCTCCTTGTTAGTTCAGTGGATGTGATTCACTAATGTTGAGGATACTGCAGGAATGTAAGAGGATGGTTAGGGTAGCAAGATACTGGTGCCTGTGAGTACCATCTATTCCAGAACAGGGGTGTTTTGATCTTAATGCTTCTCCACTGGTGCTCCTAGAATACCTCTAAATGGTATTTCAGAAACAGTGCACGTTTCCAACACTTTGCTTGCAGTAAACATGAACTCTTACATTTTCTGCAGTGTCTCACATGGGATTCTTTTTGCATGCAGAACCTTTGCCTGCAATTCTACCCCTAATAGCTTTTATTCTATTCTGAATAAGTAGCGCGAAACCTACATGTGCTCTCTTGGAAACGAAATACAAGTATTAAGTGCTGTTATCTCTCTGTTTACTCAGATGAGCAGCACTGTGGCCAGCCCGATGTCAACAGTAGTCTCTTCAAGCAGTGGAAGAAAATCGACCAGCTTTACCCCTGAATTGCAGAGTATGATGTGAGTAACCAGTCAGAATATCTGGTAATGTCTGCCTTGTGTATTCATCTTTCAGATGGTTTCTTAGGATGTGTAAATAAGGGTGATGAGGGGGAAAAAAGAGTGGGTATTAGTGATGGAGCTGTTAGTATTTTACTTCTGATTTGTAAAGCATTCAGAGGTGACTTGGATAAATCAAAACCACACCCTATCCTGAAAGGAGAGAAAATACTGCTGAGTAAAGAAATGCATTTTTAATGTATCCTATAGAAGTCTTTAGAGACCTATATTTCTCAGTCCTTCATCAAAGAAAACTAAGCTTCCTGTTGTCATATTTACTGCTGTAAAGAAATATTTCGTACTATCATCTTTCAGTGCTAATACAGAGAGGTAGACTGCTGAGATCATAATAGTGCTAATGGAATTATGACATGGAATACTTGGATTTTAGCAGACAGGAAGTAAAATTGTTTAAAAATATAGGTTATTCCTTTAAATGAACGTGGATTCTTAGAAACCCAGTTCCAAGCTGTGGCATTACATGATTTTTTTAGTTTATAACTTCTAAAGCCTTGCATGCTGTTAAATAGATGGGTTTTGTTGGTCTTAAAGGTACTTGCATAATCAGAAGGGTTCCTTAGAAGAAGTCTTTATCTTGACTGGTAATCTGCTACACTGGGCTGGCTGCAAATCTTCATTTTGTAGAAAAGTATCAAGTTGATCAGACAGTTTGACCTGCCATTACACAGCATTTTCCCCCTTTCTATGTGTTTCCAAGACAGTAAACTATGGGGATGGCAAGTAATGATCCTGTTCCCATGTGGCTTCGTGCTCTGATTTATCAAACACTTTAAAGAATGTTTCAACTTAAAACTCAGACATCTAACCAGCAAGGCTGCAATGGCTCGTGTCTAAAGTGCTCATTTAAAAAATGCATGATTGGGAATGTTAGTTATGGAGGTGGGGGGAGAGGATGCACGTTTGGCAGTTGCTGAGGTCAGCGGCACATAAAAGGGAGCTTTGCTTTATGAAACCTTGCAAAAGTGTCTTACAGGACTTTTCCCTTTGTTCGTTTGTCAGAGTTGAAAATGAAATGGAGTAAACTAATCCCAGAGTACTGACACATAAATCCGTAGTTTCAAAGGATAGTGGTAATCATTGGCTCTTTTCACTAAAGTGTTGGCTCTGAAATAGTCTCCAGGATGTAGTTTGAGATAGGATGAGATAAAGAAGGATGGACTTAACTGTGACTTTTAGACTAGTGATCTTTACTTGGAGTGATCTTTACTTTTCAGTAATCTTTCCAGTGTTGGAAAGCTGCTTTTTACGGTGTTGCTGCTTCTTATTTTTTTAATTAATTTTTAATCAGCCATATATAAATCAAAATAGTTACAGCATCCACCTTCTAACCCATAGATCTGTAACTATGTTTTAATTACAGGGACAACATATTTATTAAAATTACAGATGTTTCCTGCATGTTACCATGATTCCACCCTTTTGATCATTTTACTTTAGGTCATAAATTGTTGAATCATCTATTAGTTTACTTGCATGTGGCTTTTAATATATTACCTTGTGTGAGTTATCATTTTTGGGTAGTCTTATCTGAAAGTTCTACTCTCTTCCTTCCTGTTTCCATTATTTTAGACCTTAAGATTAGGAGAAGAAAAATGTCAAAGCTTTACTTTTATTTATAAGTATATGAGTATTTTTTGTGCCAGTTGCCTCCTGTACCCATAAAGAGGTTAAAGAATTTCAAAACCCCAGAGATAATAATTTACCTACATAAAGCCTGCATTTGGCTTTGTAACGTAATAGAAATATATATCTTAGTATTGCTGCATCATATTAGAAATGCTTTTTGCTTTTCTTTCTTTTTTACTTGTGAAGGAGTTAATTTAGAACCAGAAAGGTGTCTTAGGTCACTTCAGGCTACATTAGAACTTCTTTTTGTTTTGTTTCAGTTATGGGCATGGCAATGTTAAATAAAAAAAAAAAAAGGCAGATCTTTTCCACGTCATGTGCCAAGTCCCCCACCTGCCTTGCACTCACACTCAGCCTGTTCCTACCAGTTCCCTCTGGGTTCTTGTTGCTACTTTTAGGGGATACAGGATTTTAGGCAGGTTAAATGGTGGTGAGAACAGCTCTGCCTTGCTTTTAGTCACACGTTGCAGATTCACCTTCACTGTTGTGTAGCAGTTTCTGACCTGAATTGCCAGGTGGGCAGCAGATACATAAGGAGTTTCTCACCTCTGTGAAATTCCATCAGGAGTTCCCTTTTCAACAATGGAAGATGCAATTTGTTTTCAGTTAAATGACCTTAAGAGACTGATAGATTGTTGTCCAGTGTAGCATGGGATACATTCCACTGGAGTATTTTTCAGTTTAATGTAAATGGGATACTGATTTTTTTTTTTTCCCTGTGTGTTGAATCATCTAAAGTAGATGAGTAAGTTGTTACAAACCCAGTGTTCTGCTGTATTGAGTTCTCTTCAGGTACAACAATATCAGTGGTCTCCTTCAAGAGAATTCTGTTTGGTTATTGTTCACATCAATTAAAGTGATCTGCACTGAAAAATACAAGTGTTATTCTCGGTGGAGAAAGTGACTGTAACTGTGCTTAAAAGACAAAACAGCAGCCCTGAAGTTCAGAGTTGCAGCCTGTGCATCAATTTGGATCAGTGTCTGGGGAGCCTGGGTTTTACTGAATTGTGGACTTCCTGATAAAGTATTTTGAAACTGCCTTCCCCGCCAGTGTACACATGATTCTGTCAGAACGTAGAAGTTATTGTTGGCCATAGAAATGGAAGGAATAGACATTTTCCTTTTGCTTCAGAACTGGTGCAGTTATCCTTTGAAAGCTGTGCAAACAGATCTGCTGTGCTTTAGAGTAACAGTTTTCACAGCTTCATTAAACCAGCAGGAACTGAAGAAATTCCTTGACTGTGATGTGAACATTGAAAGTTACATTTTTATTGTTTGCTGGGGAAAAAAAGAGAGATTTTTGAAAATGATAAAGTGCCAGGGATGAACTGTGTAGAGAAAAAAAAAGACAACTGTTTCCTTTGGCCTGGGCCATAAAATGAAGTTGTGCCTTTGGAAGAACTTCCTATGCTCTGACAGAAGCTGACATTTTTTATAAACTACATGATTTAGGAAGTCTCGGATTCTCCCATTTAGGCAGTTTATAACAAATCCATGCTGACATCTTAAGATCCTGGGAGATAGTAAAGACTGGAGCATTACAGTGCAAAAAAGGTAACAACTACTTAAAGAAAAGAAAATAGAAGCTGTGTCTACCTAGTTTGTTATTGTGAAGTTGAGTAGAGTCACCTATTTCCTGTTGATTGTCATCCCTATGGATTGATCTGAAGAGTAACTTCAACTTTTCCTGCCTTTCTCAGCAAAAGCATTTGTGCAGCAAGAGGGTGAACGTGTGAGAAATGATTCTGATGGAGACATTAAGTGCTAATCCAGAATGGCATGTGGTAGTTTGTGCTGATGTTAAAAATGGGCTGTTGGATTTCAGGGACTTGAAAGGCGGAGGGAACACAGAGAAATAGTATTTTTGAAGAAGAATATAGAATCCTGCCATAACCAAGTAGCAAGATCTGTAAATCTGTGGATAAGAATCTCGTGGTTGGAAGGTCAGATCTTTGATTAGTTTATAATTTGCAGCACTGAAGTGCTGAGTCAGGGTTTGATTCCCTGGAATGCTTAAGTTTATATGTAATGTTAAGCTTGTGGTTGATCCTTTTTAAAGTGAGGAGGTTATTCATGTCTTACATCTGTTAAATACACTACACCTGGTTTTGAACCACAGCATTATTAGGGAATGAGCTGAATCCTGTTGCAGAACTGTGTTTTTATGATAAACCTGGAAATGTTTTTATGATAATTTCAGAAATGTTTTTCTGATTTATTTAAGAAGGCAGGAAATGTATAGGGATCTTGAAATCATAAAATACTGCAGAAAAGCTCTCAAATTGTGTACAAGGTTTTCATTGTATACATAGATATTTTACTAATAAAATGGTTCTATTTCTCCATTAAGAATATTTAAGATATGTACTTGGATTTGAAGAAATTTTTGTGTTTTTCAGGAAAACAAGTCTTTGATGTCTAAATAGTACTGGGCAATTGGTGGTGGTGCTTAATATGCTGATTACCTTAAGAAGAATATTCCTTAATCAGATTGTCACAGATCACCCAAACACATCAGTTTACAGTGCACTACCTTTTGCATGGTTGTATTTGGCTTTTAACTGTTTAGGCTTTGGAACTACCTGATATTTATCTCATACCAATTTGAAACAGCGAAGTGCTGTGTAGATCTTGCTTTGACTTCCACATCCTTTATTTGTATTTGGATGTTTTATTATGCTACCACAGAATGTACAGCAGTAGGTGTTAATAATTAAAAAAAGAAAAGCTTTTAGCACATTTAGTGTGTTTTGCCGAGGTTTATTTTAAAACTTTGTTTGGCTGATCTACAGCCTGTTTCCAAACTCACTGCTAATATGAGGTGAGTTGTGCTTAAATTATAGTTCTGCTCAGTAGATTCATAACCATGATTTCACAGTAGACATTAAAATTTGTGATTTGGTAGAGATCATCTAATCTGTAATATAAGCATTACTTAAAGAGTGAGTTTCTGGAAACCCTGACAGTCTTAAGACGTGTGTTAAACAATTTGCCGATATAAAGAGAGGTTTTCCCCCTTTCTTGATTTCTCAAAACTCTTATAACTATTTACAAAAATACTAATTACCATGATCTGATGGTAATTGACAAATTGTTTTTATTGATTCATTGCGGTTTTTTTTGCCCTGAACACTCATATGCAGAAGGAGCAGAGGCCGTTCTCAAGATTAGTTAAAGTTATCAAAGGAATACTTTTAAAAGTCACATAAGATTTTCTGATGGCAAACATATTTAAAACTAACGTGAATCAAGCACTTCAGTTTCCTACACCCTTGATGCTGTGGGTGAGCCAGTAATTTTATGACAGCTGAACA